CTGCATTCCAGTACATCTCGGCGCACGATGTCTTCCGCACGCCCGAGATTGTCAAGTTCGTGTTCACCCTGGGTGTGTTCATCTCTGGCCACGCCATTATCCCCCAGCCTAGCCAAGCCATTCTGAAGAAGCTGCGTGGAGTGTCTGTGGTCATCATCCAGGAGGTACTTCGTGTCCTCGCAGAGCTGAAGATCAACCTGGCTCAGATCAACCTGGACTACCTCAACGTCCTGATCGGTCTCCTTGGAGAGCAGCAGGACTACAAGAATCTGGTCTGGATCCTCGGTGATCTCTGGAACAACCGCAACAAGCAGGCTCACTGGAACCCGGTTCTCACTCTCGACCTGGCTCGTCGCTACATCCTCGCTCGTTACCTGATTGGTGACTCCGTCAAGGCTGCCCGTCTTGCCGAGGATATTGTGTACAACTGCCGCCGTGTCAACGGTGCTCGCCACTCCAGCACCCTCGAGATGTCGACTCTGCTGTCCCAGCTGTACACTGCCATCGCCCAACGCTACCAGGGTGACAAGAGCGGCCAGCACATGGCCAACAAGTACTACAAGAAGAGCGCTGTCGTACACGAGAGCCTTCTCCGTATCTTTGTCGACCCCTCCTTAGCCGAGTTTGAAGGTTCCATGGATGCCAGCTTCAGCATGGATGGCTCTGCTTACGACCTGAATATCAACGACTCGACCAGCTCTTTGACCGATGGCGAACAGGTCCGCCAGCACCTCCAGCTTCTCAAGCTCTCCCTGCAGCGCCTGGGTGACTGGCCCAAGGACTACAGCGAGTACGAGAGCCTGAACGCCAGTCTCTATGAGTTGTTCGCACCCGAGCTCAAGGGCTTCGAAGGTGTTGAGAAGTGGAACCTGAAGAACTTTGGCTCCGGCAAGGCTGCCAGCAACGAGGACACCCTTGACCTCAAGGCTGTTTCTTGGGAGCTCAACATTGGACATTCTCAGGAGATCGAGGAGGAGCTGTGAAAGTGATTCCCCAGGACTAATTTTATTCTTATATTTAGTATTCTTTGTATATCCCGTGTTTTGTTTATAGCTTGCGTGTCTTTATTTCCTACAAACCAACGGCAATCTGGTTCTTTCAAACCTTTCCTTCCTGTAACCACGTACTAATTCCCGACGGGCTTTGACTAACTAGTATCGTAATGGCTATGCAGGCGCTTCGTTCCAGTTGAAGCATGAACTCGTAATTCTAGGTGACGGTGACTGGGGAAGTGATCAGCCCCAGGAGCACAGATTGAGTTGGTCACCCCGCCGCCCTAAGCGGCTCACGGAGCGACCCTGAGCAGCTCCCTGAGCAAGCTGATCGTTCACTCCAATGCTCAGGCTGATCGACACATTCCATCTCATCTTGCCTCTCCGTTCTTTCACAATACTCCGACGATAACCGCACTGTTGCCTACCGTTTTCCCAGGATTTAGTAGAAAAAATAGGGTGTATATCCCGTAACTAACGCTAAATATTAGCTATGAAACATTTGATTTAGAATTCAGGGCAAGAGGCATGACTGAATGTGTCGAGGTGGATGATATCAATCCGAACATAGATGCGACCCGTTTCAGGTGCCGCCATCTTGTGTCATTTGAGATTTACTGCAAAAGTCCATCTTATGTTTGAATTTGGGCGATCATATACGATCTCCTGTAAGTAAAAGACGTTCTTACAGGACAATATTTCTAGAGCAGACAAGGAATTCCGACAAAATTTTGAGATCTGAGTCACCATCCATGTTCCATGTTTCGTGATACGATTGATTCCTATCTTTGAAATATACATTCAGTACTATCCCATCTTGGGCTTTTAAGTATCTTTCCGAATCTAGGCCTACAAGCCAGCATTTCGCTCGTTTAAGCTGCCGCAACGAAGGTACAGGCCAGCTTCAATTTTCGTGAACGATGTCTAAGAACAGAGCAATTGACTTCTATGTTTTTATTACGCTAGTTGTGACTGCCATCGAGTTTCCCTAATTTACCAAGACTACTACTAGGGGCGCCACCTATTTTGTCTGGCCTTTTCTAAAAGAACGTGACAAAAACGTCTATAGCAGCAGGGTGGCCTTTCTGCTCAGCCGTATCCCACCCATATTGCCCCACAGACAAAAAAATGATATCCCCAACGTAGCATGGCTTGAGAAGGAGCATTACAAAGTGATAATGCCAATTGCTTTTAGTTCAACACCGAGGTATAGCTATAACCAAGCATGAATACTATTACCAATAAATGCGACTTCTCCAATCATAAGGTAAACGGAGAGGCACAATATTTACCGGGGAATATTTACCAAGGGAAAATGACAGCAGCCCCCAATGCCATACCAACAGCAGAAATACAAAGCAAAGAGCCGGCACCATCCCATGCCGACGCCTCGTGACCAACCTTGCCTGCCGCGTTAGATGTAGTCGCTGCGGTGGTCGCTGCAGTGGCAGCCGAAGTAGAGGACGCCATAGCAGACTTCAAATCGGACTCATGATGCAGGAGGGTGATCATGGGTGCATAAGACAAGGCAGTGTAGTAGGTTTGTTCGCTGTGGTCAAAGGTCGTCGAGAAGGTGTCCGTTTCGTAGATGGTTGCCGTTGGAACATCACGGTAACCAGTCTTGACGGCGCTGGCGCTAGGGTCACTGTACGTGTATGGCACCTCAGAGTATTCGTAGTTGTACCCTGTGCCGGCCTGGCAACCGACGCTGGGCTTGTAGTCTTTCACGACGGAATAACAAACACCATTCTTGTCGGCGGTCATGGCGCTGTGGAGGAATTGTAAGCCAAATTATTATTCTGCAGTTTACGTTCAGATTGATGTAATTGGGTGTTTTTACCTCGGACAACATAACGCCATTGTCTGTTTAGGCTCGAGAATGCCCTTGAGTACCGAGGCGGGGTACTCGTAGTTGAACATATAGTAGTACATGTCATCGGTACTGTACTTCGTGGTTGTGGTCGCACTTGCAGTGGGAACCATGATACCTGATGAAGTTATCGAGCTGCCAGAGTCACGCGCTGCCATCCCGATTGTCGTCCAGCCCGAGGGACAGTGTAGACCAGGAGAGTAGTAGGCACCAAAACCTTCCCATTCGATCAGGCTATCCTCATATTCTTCATAATCCTCGTAAGAGGTTGTTGTGAAGGCCGCGGTGCTGACTGTTGAAGTGGTAGTGGGAGTACAGCCGGTAAAGATGTTGAAGTCCGAGGTGCATTGGACTGCATACGCTATGTATAGATTCCCACCAGTAGGATTCACATACCCAAGACCGACGCGATTGGAAGCAGTGCAGCTTGGAGCCGGGGTGTACGTGGTGGTGAGGGGGCCCAAGTTGGTGAAGGTATACCAACCTGCAGAGACTGAGGCATTCAAACCGTCCATGACTGCAATCGATAAATCGAAAAATCGGTAAATAGAAACACAAATAGATCAAGGAGAAATGAAGAACATAGCCTTGATTAAGTGCTACGGGGGCCAGCTGTTATATACAGAATTTTCTTTATAGTTTCCACATCGTTTAAGGAGAACTAGCCAAAATTTGGGTACAAATGTTCAAATGAGGCCTAAATTGCAATCTCCGCTGCGTTCGCTAAACAGCAAAATGCAGCCTAGGCAGGCTTGGCGACAAACTAATTCAAGTCCGCCGATGTCCCTAGTGCCAATTTGGGTTAGCTATGTCTTTCAGGGTCACATAGCGTCAATTGATTCTCTAGGTGTAACAACTCGCCGTATCTTCACAAATGATTGTGTGTCGGCGAGTGGATCAAAGCCGGACACTATTGATTGACGTGAAATCATTACTTTGGAATTAATCACCCTTTACCAGGGCACGCTCCCAAAGTGAGATACAGTCCTGACTGGACCTCTGGGAACGATTCTAGATACCCCCGAGTCGATGCTGGTGTTTACATCAACCTGAGCACGATCGAGAGATTGTGCAGCAAAAGTCGAAGCCACAACTGGTGCTTCTCAATTACCACATTAGTGGCTTTATCCTGCCCCGACATGGTACCGATGATGACTTCTGGCACCGGAGACCGGATCCAAGTCCCATACGCCTAATGCTGAGTAACTCTTCTACCGTGCTACGTGCCTGCTAACTGGGATCGAAATGATCCTCGCATCCCGCCCGTCTCGAAATTTCCGCGCCGCATGCTTATGATAATTGCTGGTTGCGACACTCTCACTCGTGAAGCTGAAGTGCTTGCGCAAGCAGTCGTGCAGGAGCCGGGTAGTTCTCGAGATCCGCATGTGGTTGCCAGGCGCGTCCTTGGTCATTATCGTGGCTAGGATAAGATGACCGAAACCTGCAACTGCGTTGATCAAAGGCAAGAAGTGGGCCTGCCAGCTTGCGGTAGACTCTTTCAACCAGCATGGATCGTTCATTTTGCGCCGAAATGGCACACCTGTGCCAGGTGTGAATGGATTCGGGATAACCTAACTGAATATCTTGCTTTAATTGCTCGAAGGGTCTGGAGGGCATCTATACTAGTTACTTTTTTTAGTTGCTTCAAAATTCTTGACGGACGGGAAAGAAGCAAGCAATAATGGCAATATTATTGGTTGGGAAGCGGATAGGGAAGGAAAGAAGCCCCAAACCTCCGAGGACTCTCAGGACCATCTGGTGTCACATGATGGTTGGTCATGTCATCTCAACAATGTGCTATCTAAAATTTAAGTTAGAGGTCTCGTAGCTAAGTGGGATGCAGATTTCCGATCTGATCCGGGAGCTGCAGAAATCTAGATACAATCGACTGAGGCTGTCTATCCGAGCGGCCATATATAATTCCAGGGTCCTGTCGGCATTTTTAGCAACGTTAATTCCCCAGATGAGACTGTAATACTTGTTGCTTTTCTCTCTAACGATTTGGTAAGTATTGATGGCAACAGGGGATCAACGTAGAAAATTGGAAGTGAAGTACATACATCATTCTGTGGAACCCTTCGCTTGAGAAGAAATCGTCCAGCAGTAGTTCGTCTATCGCAGTGATTCCACAGGCAGCTTCAACCGCCAGTGGCAGTGCAGGCGAAGAGGTTGCCGTGGGCCGCAGGTGAGATGGTGACTCTCTTCAGGGCAGGGAACTGCTTAGCGCCGTTTAAGAATGCTTCCAAATCACTCTTATCGGTAAGAACATCTTTCTGTTGACGCAGCAAATGTCGATAATGTTGCCAGCGCTCCCTCAGTGGAGGCTGAGCGAAGACCTGTTCTCTGTGCGCGACATGGTCGGGTTCCACATCACGACCTTTCCGGTCCCTTAGAATGTAGAGGCCTTCCTCACAAGCGTCTTTGAACCATTTCGGACACCCCTTTTTCCTCCTCGTATTCATGTCGCTCGATGATCTCCTCTCTGTTGCGGGTATGGTATTTTTTTGGGCCACTCTCTGCTGTTGTCGGGCTCATCCTCGTCCGAGAGCAATCTTACCCCTCGTCGGTTTCGGGTGTTCGCTGTGGACCCCGTGGCAAGCGCGCCTCATCCCAGATGATCTCAGTCACCAGATGGCGGAACTTGTCGTGTGATGCAATGTTGCGAAAGACCTCTATGTTGAGTGGGTTGGCGGATAAGAAAACACGGTCGAGGCGAAGAAACACTGCATTGTTGAATTGGTTACATGCCAGGCGCAAAGACTTTATGTCGGTGTTGGATAGATGCGATGTGATGCAACCCCATATCTCGAAGGGGAGCGCAGGGAGGGTGGTATAAGTCGTGATGTGATATTGTAGAAATGAACTTGGGACCCCATTGTGATATAGTGTCGTTTTATACCAGGCAACTGGCAAAAACCCCCTATTTGTCACCACGCGCGTTCCCCCAGCCGCCACTGTAGATTTTGCCTACAATACCTAATACACACTCCTCTTGGCTCTTTTCCTTCTCTTCAAGGGTAATTCCGCTCTATTTGGCGTGACGACTGGTGGATCCAAAACGGGCTGTGTTGTACTAGAATGATATTTTTATTGTTCGTGGCACTGAGTTCAAGACTTGCCATGTGGAAGAGAACAACAAGACACCCGAGAACATCATGATGTTGGAGTTCGCAAAGTTGACCTTCCGAAATGGGTCTACTCGGGAAAAGTGCCAGTTCGAGTTTCGACCTTGAAGCCAGTCACCAAATCCCGAAAGCGGGGGAGTTATTCTTCATGAAACAATACCTTGCCTTATTCATTTTCGGCAGTAGTGCGCAATGTGGGAAGTATATGCGTAGCACCAGTCATGACCGGACTTGATGTTAGTAAATCTCAAATATCTGATGGCCAAACGACCGGGACGAATGCTAGTTCAATTGCTAAAATACGAAGCCTTTCCGTATCACGCCTCTGGCAACTGACAATGTGACACATCACAATAACCCAGGCAGGGTCCCTCCAATAAATACTCTCGGAGAAGAAGAATATCCAAGGCCTTTTGGCATAGTAGCCGTAAGGGATCAAACAAAAGAAACGGAGTCATCGTGTAAAGTGATAAGAACACATTCCGCTGTCAGTTCCTGAACAAGCTGGTCGATGGAGATGAAATTCGTGCTTGGCAATGCAAAATGCGCGGTTTCTTTGCATTCCCGGCAAATTGTTTGAAACAACCACTGAGTCTTACTAGCTATCTCAGGCTCCTGTAGAAGGCTGAGAAAGGTRAATTGGKTTTTATGCTGAAACTTGACAAGGCCCATGCTTGAGCATCCATGGCATCGAAGAAAAAGACGGTAAGACGGGTTTTCTATTTGGCGTCGTATTTCATCCACCCGAAAGGGCATTCTTGATCCACGCCTTTCAACAAAAGATGATGAGAAAGGTAAGCCAGCCGACGTTTTGATGGTGACAGTATTATCTCAGCGTGATATGGGCCCAGAAATGACAGCTGGTCAACTATACTTCGACTGGCTCGAGGAGTGGTTTTACCATGCAAAGAGGTGGAAATCTCTTAAATATCAAGATCCGGAGGACCGGGAGGAGTAAATAGATTTTCTCGGCGGCCACGGGAATGAATGAATAAGCTCGATGATTAATTTCGAAGACCGATTGATTTCTGTGGATTATCCTCTGTTTTCTAAACTCCAAGCCCTAGAGCAATGACCATGACGCAAGCATTCGAGTGGGCGGATAATATAACCGTTCCCACGGCTATCGTGTGGAGTAAAGAGTGGGTTCCACATAATTGGCGGGTGGTTGTCCTCCGGGAACTAACGGCAGACCCAACAGCGAACCACCGGCGGGGCTTACCTGGAGCAAGGATATGAGCGATTGAGTGGGCGGATAATATAAGCGTCCCCACGGATATCTTGTGGGCGTAAATAGGGGTTCGACCATAGTTAGCGGGTGACAAAGCCGGCCACATGCAGCGACATGCTAACCATATGACCATGGGTCGTACTCACGTCGTTCGGCTAGGGAGCCGACCCAGACTGTCAACTTGGGATGAATCCCCCACAGTTGATAACTCCTAGTGCCGGCGTACCCAATCAAGCCGCGAAGAAAATATTTTCTACCAAATGGGTTAACGGCTTCGGTGGATTGTCTGTTTGATTGTCTATTGCGACCCAGGATTTATGGTTGTGCTAGAGGTGTGTATGTATGTTGGCAAACTTTAGCGCTCCAAAGTGAACAAACCCTGCCTCGTATCCATAGGAGATAAATCGAAAACCGCATCCAAAGTCTTGCCTTGATCTGGATCTTCAGATATCCCGTCACAACAAACAACTGAAGAATGCAGATGGGAAACGGCGGTACAACCAACATTTGGGAATGTCGGCGGACCGAAAGCCGATTTTTCGAGATTCCACGCACTATTCGCAAAGTTGTCTATTCGGTATTGCTGTCGCATAGAACAGTTGACGCCTTACCTCACCAATATGCAAAGTGATTGCCTTCCGTTACATGTACCTGCAACCCCCGTGGAAGGCAACTCAATTCCTACTGATATCCTTCAATACATTCTTGAGCAAAATCTTACAGGATTGAGGAACCGGCCTTTCTGGTATATGCAATACCCCCATTGCACGATGCTATGGTATGCTAACTAGTCGATAGGCACTCTAGCATGTGGTATTGTGTGCGACAGCAGACCATGGTGATAATACAGTATTTGAAGCTTTTTGCCCGGGTCGAGCGATGCCAGGTTTTCTTTTTAATACTGTGGAACAATTACCCGATTGCAGTACTTGGAGGCTTAGTCATTTGGTTATTTTTCCACAGTCTCTATGCAGCTGTCGCTTGGGTACTCGCCTGTCTTCTTGGAACTATATTCATCGCTGCAAGTGTCTAGCAATCATCCTATAGTTTTGCGTAGCGAAACACAAGCATAGACTTGGCTCTGTTCAAACGGCAAGGATCGTGATGAAGCATCTGTGTTTAGTTCGTCGCGATCAATTGTACATTGTTTCTCGCATCCATATCGGTTGTGATATGAGGCTAGTGCAGATAATAACAAAGCCGCGCCACCGATAATAATTCCTTCACGATCTACACGAAAACGAAGCAAGTCGACAGGGGATCAACATGGCCTCATGTTCTATATACAGTCTCTTGTACTCCCTCAGAAATAGAGTAATCACCATTCCTCAGAACTAAAACACATAGTTCTTAAAAACACTCCCGCAATTAAAAAAAAAAAGGGAAACGTCTTGCCTAACAGCTGTGACCAAAGCAATTGCAAGAACCACAACAGCATCAGTGGTTATCAATCCTCTGAACCAACCCCTTTAGCTAGCACCATGGCGGAGCGGGGTAAGTTGTACACTGCTAGACTACCAGCGGCGACGCGACCAGCGTTCAAAGCGGTGCACAATTGCACTGTCGCAATGACGGGTATTGTCGCCAGCATCTCCGGGAGAGCAACCCACTGATTGTTGCCGGTCGTTGGGTCGCAGGACTTCCGATCTTGACAAGGATTCATGTTCGGTTCCAGAAATCGGTGTACTTTAATTATACAGGTAATGATATATATATTGATGGTAGCCAGCATATCTCTCTCATAGTTGGAACCCTGGATTGAGGTACAAGTGTGATAATCACATTCAGTCTATGGGAAAAGATTCAGCTACTTATAGTCGCAGCAACTCATCTCCCTTCTGCCTAGCGGAGTGGAAGCCTAACAGGAAGCCACTCCTATAGACCTATATACATCACGTAACCTGGGATCCAACTCACATCGATGGGTCGGGGTATGCACACGAAGTCTTCCACCATGAATCCATAGTCTAGTTTTCAAAAAGTTGACTTGATCTATTGACGCAGCACCTATGGAGAATCGGTATCTTGAACATCATTCCTGCCGGCATAAAATCGGTCCCTTATGGGCTCATAACTTCTGGCGAGCACGTCCGGCTTATGATAACAAATGAGATCCAAGGTACCTAGTGAGATGTGGTGGTCCTCTTCTAGGGGTTCGAATAACGAAGCAATTGTTTCGTTGTTAATTCCCAAAAGTTCACATTTTGCGTCTGTGGATTCTTTGCTCAACCAGGTGCTGTCCGATTCGCAGTTTCTCGCCAAATCTTTGGTTCCGAGTTCCAGTATCTGCTATGTTTTAGAGAATGAATCAATATTTTGTGACATTGAGATTGTTCCTAACCTTTTCTTGACTTGAGAGAGAACTGTGTGGACGCTTTCGCTCTTTGCCGCCAAAGTGCTCGTACTTTTCTTTGGGAGGTGCCACCACCGAAAATTCCATTTCCCACAACTTCAGGATCGTAGGATTCTCGTTACCAGTGATCTTACACTGTTTCAGGATATAATGATTCCCAACTTAGCAAATAGGGGGGAAGAGAAAAATATATCGAAGAGAAAAGATCAGTTTTCGAGGATACTTACATTTCCGTTATGTGCTGGCTCATCTTTCTCTTTTTGCTTGTGCATGGATGGTCCTGGGCAAACAATCCCCGGTCCTGGGTCAAAGGATGGGGAGTTTCGAGGCTTCATTGTTGTGGTGTATGCACCAGCTGGTGGGATGAAGAACCTGGGTTTGATAGCAAAAGATATTGTGATGTTTCTCGACGCGACAACTATAAAACCCTTCGAAGAACGCATCGTACTTTTGAAAATGCCTTACATAATATATGGATGAACTTGTGAACTCATGAAGAATGTATGCTGTTAGACTTGGGAATGCACATCTCCGAGACCATTTTTTCTCATAGGACTGGTGATAAACTCTCATTTTCTTGAGAGAAAAGCGCAAATACCAGTCTATTTGGTTAACTACGCAAACAGCTGTCTTTGAATTGATTGTGTGGACTTGGTGTTTTCAGAACATTCCCGATTGTTGACGCAGAAAAGTTTGCTTTAAAAAAGAAAAAAAAAAAAGAAGGGAAATGCTCACTTTGCGCAGACTCAGATTTGACCCAATTTACTAACTGAAAGTATCTGCTGTGCTAGCTTCCTTCATGGACTTAAGATTTCAATCCAGTTACGCACACCGAAAGCTGGCCCCCCCAATCAAATCTTACCAACATCGTATGCACGCCCATATGGGGGTGTAGAGTTTACAGCGATTTTCGAGAGTATCTGATTTTCAGGCTACAGAATGTACACTGCAGTAGATAGATCATCACGATAATGTCCGGTACAACGCATGCAGAACAAGTCATATTTACATTGCCTCTCTACCTGGAGCCTGGCTTCTTCTTTAGGTTTATAAATATGACTTCCATTCTTGCTCCCACTGACGGAGGGTTTTGCCGCGAATAAACGCCGTCTCCCTCGTGAGAAGGGAGCGGAAGGGGTGTGTTTTGCCGGGGCCTACGGCGTCCTTGGCCAGTCGACCCGCTACGTCGTTTCCTAGGTTGTCGCAATGCCCTGGCACCCACTGAAGGCGAAGCGCCAATCCCGCCGCTTGAACCTCTGTGGCCGCCTGGAAAATGGCATGGATGACCCTTTGTCCGGATTTGTGTCCCCCGTTTTGGACTGCCTGCAGGGCTGATCTGCTGTCACATAGGGTCGTCGCTGTCGTTTTTTCACTGTCTACAGTTCTTAGGCGCTGGTGAGCATGTTTGAACACTGTGCTGATAGCATAGAAAATGCCAATCGGCGCCGCTACGTGGACCGACCACCGGTCCATCGGTCCTACCTGGACCTGTTGCGACTCTATGACATCTAGGTTGTTGTCAAGCGCGATAACGGCGGCACCCAAGTGGCCCTCGCGTCCAGAGGCGCCTGAGTAGCCGAAAATGTCGGACGTGGACCGTACGGCCTCGGCCCGTTCTCCTGTCGTCTCTCGGTCTGACCCGATCTCAATGTTCGTGAAGGACTCGGCTCGCCATGGCGGCAGCAGTCGTGGCCAAAAGACATGAAGTAGCTTCGACAGGACCTACTCGCATAAGCCACTACCCTAGTTTTTGGCCTAGTATAAGAGGCTTCTGGTCTCTTGAGGTCCACCACGCCTCTCACCCTGGGTGTCTCTCAGTTTGACATAAGCATACATCACGGGTAGATCAACTAGGACGACACTGGTTCGACCGATCAAGACCAGTCTCAGGTGCGAGTGAGGTAGTTGACATCCCGGCTCTCTGTACACCGACGCGCATCGTCCTCTCGGGCCACACAGACAGTCTCTTGACAGGCCCCGAGCCTGTCACAGTGGCTGCCATTGTATACCACGCCTCGCAAGAGCGCAAGAGCTCACACTCTTGTTTCGCGTTACGTGAAGAGGTCTCCCTCCGCCAGGCCGACTGTGTCTTGCAGAAAGCCCTCGTATACGCTCCATCCGGCAGTGTATGTAGGTCACTCTCCACTAACCAAGCTTGGGTCCCCAATGTTTGAACAGGATCCACGGGTTGCCCGTGGCAAAGCCTTAACGAGGTCCATTGGTTGCCACCAGACAATTACCAACCCCTTTCAGATAACCCGTATATCTCCCAGGAGGATGCCCGTGTCTCGAAGAACAGCTGCGCCCAGGGTTGCCCGTTGCCGAGCCTTAACGAGTTCTCCGGTGCAGGATACCCCTGAGCCTTAACGAGTTCGAGTCTTAACGAGGCTTCTGGGCCTTGGACGTGGTCTGTCCAGTCTCAGCATGACTGCTGCCCAGGGCGAGCTCACTGGGGGCTTGTTGTATCACCACAGTACAGGCGCGTTCAAAAGCTCTCACCACTTTAAAAACTTTTTTGTGCCAAACTCAATTCTGAGACACACTAGTCTATTAGCGATGCTCGTGAGATCGAAATAGATTGTACTGGAAGGCGGGCGCGGGGCACGCATCTGCCCTAAAACCATGAAAAGAAGAGGGTGGTAAAAATTTACATGACAAATATGTGGCTGGTGCAGGTAGAGGCCTTAGCAGCCTTTTACCTTCTTGCAAGTGGGCAAGTCAACAGGTACCGGTTTCGTGCTCTCGATTTCACTATTCCAAATACTTCCGTACTAATAGCTCTTCTCTTTTAGGTCATGGAAACTTTGTGGTATTGCCATTCATTCTGCATTGATTATGGGGCTCAACCTTCGCAGTGAGAGCCAAAGTGTTGCCCCGTTGTCGAAGGAAATCACGTACCGGGTCTGGTGGGCTTTGTATACGCTGGAAACGTCGCTTTCTGTGACGACTTGTCCCCCCCCCAAACCAGCACTAGTGAGGTATTCCGCACAACACCGCTTCCTATACCCTTTCGCGATGAAATTCTGCAGAGAGACCATGTCTTAAAGTACACAAAAGTCCAGCCGGCTCGGAACTGCCTTATGGCAACGCTGTGTTCCAAGGGGTGTTCAACCTTTAAGGATAGCCTGACCGACGGCGTAGACCATTTATCTCTCCTTTACGGTGCAAACCTCACGGTCTTAACGCGTGAGGCTATTGATAGCGTTTATGCTCCAGGCTCAGCTCATAGATCATGGTCCGAGATGGAGAGCATGATATCTTCATTGAATGAGAAAGCAGACAACTGGCTCGATACGCTCCCAGCTACATACCAGTTCAAAGACAAAAGCGTAAGTGGAGTCGTGACATGTTAACATATCAGCCTCGCTCTTCATTTCTACTCGACAAAGCTTTTCATCTTGCAACCTTGCCTTCGCGGACTACTACATCCCTCATAATCTCAACCGCTGGCCCGCAAAAATATATATGCAGATTGGCCGATAAAGAAAGGTTAGCATGTTTTGGCATTTCATTAGTTCATTGCTGAATACCGCACCGTCTTGGGTATAGGTGTACCTTGAGGTTTCCGCCTCGGGTTGGCTTTTCGGTAGAGGCTATGATACATGGCTGCTAGAGGATGGTAGATGTTCTAATGGGGAAACCGATGAGGTCAGGGGGTTCCGGGGGGTCCGAGATGATTGGACCAAGTAGGAGTAGTTATACTGGCTTCCTGGCGTCTCTCCTGTTCTCTTTCTTCCTTCTCTCTAGCTTAGTGTTTCTTGTTGAATGGACTTCGTTGCTTCGAACTTGTCGACTCACAAATAGGTCAATGTCGAGCGCGGCAGTGGAGATGCGCTTGAACGCGCCACTGATCAGAATCGCTGCACGTTTTTGGAGTTTTGTGAGCTCATTGACCAGCTTTGCCACCTCCCATGCTGCCCTGAGCGTGCTGCAGGACAGTACCGGCCGATATGCCCCATAAGGCTTGTGGTATAATGACAGCTTGATAGAACTTACGCATGGTCATCAATGGTGCAACCCACGTAGACCCTGAGATGCCACGGAAGGCTTCTAGGCTGCTGGCCGCCCTGGTAAGAAGCTTTTTGCGGTGCGTGTCAAATCTGAGCTGTTTTGTTGAGCCAAATACCAAAGTATTTCGCATATTCTGATGGTGACGAAGATTCCAGGCGATCGACAATCGAGTTCTGCCAATGCATCCCTTTGTTGCGTCTAAGGTGGGACGACAAATGCCATGTGTGGTATCGCTCTAGGCCCACGCGGGTACGCGTACCCGAGTCGGGAGTCTGAAAAGGTCCTAATGCCCCACTAGCATTGCGAAATAATAGCATGAAAGCCAGCGAGAGCCCTTGCTTCAGAAATATCACAACGGACCTAGTCATAGCTCTTTTCTTTCTCCGTGGCCATGGAGGAAGTGTTCCACGAAGCGGGGTTTACGCCACTGCGGCTGCTTGGTAAGAATGTCTACTTCCTTGAGTTTTCAACCCCTGATACCCATTAGGACATGCGGAAAAATATTCAACGACGCGGAGTCACTTGGGGATCTATCTCAACGTGGGTCTGACAGCCCGCTATAAGCGACCAAGCGGAGTACCCGTGAAACCGGCGCTCTTTCACGCTCTTTCGATGCTCATCTCGAAGCACCCTATACTTTCGGCCATTCCATTCGCTATTGATACACCAAATCCGTATTTTATCCGTCTCCCTAATGTTAAACTGAGTGAGGCTGTGGTCTTCATGAAAGACGATGCGAATTTTCCGAGCTCGGATTGGAGAGAGATCCTCGACAACGTCCTTGAGGAGCAACACAATTGCCCCTTCGAGATTCAGCCAAACAAGACCCTTCCATTCTGGAGATTATGCGTTCTGGAGAGTAGCAATTGCCCCACAAACTTTATCCTCGTTTTCATGTTTCACCATTCACTCATGGACACCAAAAGTGCTCTTTCGTTCCACGATGAACTAGAAGGATATATGGCTCAATATGTCGGCATTGAGCCAAGTGACACGGTCAATAGTCCTTCTCGTGCCCTTATTCCTCCACTTGAGGGCTTATATACTCTCTCGTTGTCGCAAGAATTCTTGCAATCTCAAGAGAAGTATAGCGAGCCATCTGCCGATAACTGGACTGGTGCTCCCCAGTTCACGCCTGTAAAGACTCGCTTTTCTTCTTTATGGCTATCTGAGGCTGACACAAACGCCCTTATAGCATTGAGTAAGAAGGAGCAGACCTCCGTCACGGCGACACTTCAAGTGCTCGTCGCGACCAGCATTTTTTCTGTTCTTCCGTCAACTTATCATACACTACAGGGCGACTGTGCAGTATCACTACGAAAATTCCTCCCAGAGCCGGTCACTACGACCACATTGGGTTGCTACGTCGGATCGTCATCCACAACGTACCGCAGAAAGCCATCTTTTGATTGGAACGAGGCTCGCCGCACCAAGGTGGCTATCGAACATGCCATGGCGCAGAAAGGGGGTGACATGCCGGTTGGATACTTGGCATTCATTCAGAACCAGCATCACTGGATGCTACAAAAACTGGGTCGGAAAAGAATGAGCGCATATGAATTATCCAACGTTGGAGCAAGTTCTACTCTGCGAGGAGGATCAAACTTCGAAATTGAGAGTATGCTGTTCAGCCAGAGCTCTAGTGCCTGCAGCGCCGCTATCAAGGTCAGTGCTGTGACAGGGCGAGATGGAAGACTGGCGTTGGGCTTCACCTGGCAAGAAGGGGCTATAGAAGCCGGCATGATCAAAGAGGTCAAAAGGGCTCTCAAGAGTGAGGTAGAAAGATTGGTAGTGTCTGGGTAGGATTACTGCGTAGGATTACCGAATGGCTATTGTGAATATCATTTTGTTCTCGAACCCTGATGGTTTATGCGAATGAATTTCTCTCAATCATCCATATTCTAGCATTAGTAGTTTCTTACAAACATCATTTGAAAAGACGTGCTATGTTTATGAATGAATGAACGAAAGGTAACGATTCACACGAAAAAGAGCTCGATTTGTTCAATGGCGGTACTATACACAAGGAACTAACATATGAAGAGAGAAGACAGGAAAGAAGTTGAGACTGCTTTATTTGAAATTGAGTGACAATAGGACTGCTGTCATCGTGGTTTTGGTAGCCCGATTCACCGTCAGCCCAGTCTATTTAGGCTATGATTTCAGTATCTCGGGTCTCAGTACCCGGAACGGTCCGCTTAAAAAGGCAACGCCCTTTTTTTTTCGAGCTTCAATCTATCCATTATCGTGCCGCTGGTTTTATCGCAATCACGACCAGATCTTTACGATGACTCAACTTTCTGACTACCGTGTGCTTTCCTTCGATGTCTACGGTACTCTAGTCGATTGGGAGGGAGGCATTCTCGCTGCATTCCAGCCCATTCTGGACAAGACTAAAGCTCAATTTACACGCAAACATCTGCTCACAATCTACCATGAGCTAGAGCGCGAACAGCAGAGCAAGACTCCCGATATGCCGTACCATCAGTTGTTAACCACTGTGCACCCCGAGTTCGCCAAGCGCCTAGGACTAGAGATCCCATCCCAGGAAGAAAGCAACCGATTTGGGGAGTCAGTCGGCAACTGGCCCGCGTTCCCGGACACCGTTGATGCCCTCAAGCGTCTCTCGAAGCATTACAAATTGGTGGTTCTATCGAATGTTGATCGTGCATCGTTCGCGAAGACCAACGCAGGCAGCTTAGAGGGCTTTCCCTTCGATTTGATTATCACTGCTCAAGATGTGGGCTCCTATAAGCCCGATCTTCGCAATTTTGAATACATGCTCAAAATGGTGAAATTAAATTTCGACATTGAGCCCTCGCAGGTCCTCCAAACTGCCCAAAGCCAGTTCCACGACCATCACCCTGCTAGCAAGATCGGAATCAAGTCCGCCTGGATTGAGCGACCTGGCGCCACCATGGGAAACTTGTCGGATAATATTTATGATTGGCGGTTTCACACTATGGGCGACATGGCCAAGGCATATGAGGCCGGACAGTAGATATTGATGTATGAAGTGATGTCTCTCTGGCTACCCGTTGTTCGAAAAAACAATACCTTTTGTCTTTGTTTATATGAGCGTTAATGTCTTACTCAAAATAGAACGCCGCATTGACTGCTCTTCCAAGCTCTTCCCAGAAGACTAATGGGTTCCGGGCTATCTTCATCGATTTGTCCACAATGTTCCCCATTCTTCGACTAGTGAGCTTGGCCCTGTAGCTCATTGGAATCCATCTACACTCTGTGTTTTATTCCGTGTCAATAAACTGTTTGGATGGTGGTCTCAGTGCCTCATCCATATGCTCCCATATCTCATATCTCCATAGATAGTCTTTCATCCACTTAGTTTCTTCACCCAATAAAATACATTACTTGCGTCACTGCATTACTATCGTTTTATCCCATGCTTTATTTCAGGTAGCTTTCATCGTTCTGCTAATAAGGTTACGGGCCTGAAAGCTCCTCGTAAACACCAGCGCAGGAATGTTGATAAAGGTAACTTATTAGTTAAAAGTTTACACCCGTCCATATAAATACGAGAAGTTATTCGAATTGGCTAACATATTCTACTAGCTGACAATTGCGCAGAACGATTCGCATGGTGTTTTATCCGGTGACGTCGCCACTCAGAGCTGCCGGGTACATGTACCCGAGTCTAGGACACCGCATTATCGAGGCTGGGACAAAAGGCGGGCGTGTACTATTTAGTGCCTGTCAAGCCGGATTGGAATGTTCACTTAGTGATCCACTGTGCTTCATTATTTCCCACTAATGTAACGGAATGATAACTGAGTATGTGGCTGTGACTGACTTGTACCTAAGCCCGGCCCGAGTCCACTGGCATCGCCAATGAAGCCGGCAGGTAGAAAGGGAATAAAATAGATCCCGCGTAATTTAAATTATAAAAACAACTAAGCATATGTGCTCCTATATTGCATTTAGGCAACTCACACATTCTTAGATACTGCATGCGTCTCATCAGCCATAACCTTTTACCTTTGTTACGGTTTTCACTTCACCAAGCAAGAACACGTACATTCAGCATGACTCATACCGTGCCACAAGTAAATCAAACACTCGGTTTCGTACTACTCTGAGTTATGATCCCGAGGTTGGCCTGTGGTTTTAGTTGAAAGAGGAATCTTTATTCATTGTAAAATGCCAGATCAACGGTGAATGGATCGGGACCCAATCGGGAAAGACATTTGAGGTCACTGGTAGGAAAAACTGCGCACAGCCTATGTTGCTAGTCTTCTGACGACGAATGAATAGATCCGGCCACCAACAAAGTCATTGGACATGTTCAGAATCCAGCGCAAACGACACCGAGAGAGCCATCAAAGCAGCTTCCAATGCATTCCCGGTCTTTCGCAAGACGCTAATACGCTAAAGGTCTCGACTGCTGAGGCGTTGAAATGACCTCATCCTGCAAAATGTGGACGACTTGGCGACTTTGATAACCTGGGAGAATGGAAAACCGTTTGCCGAGGCTCAAGGCGAGGTCAAGTACGCTGCGGCCGTCATTGAATGGTTCAGCGAGGAAGCCCCCGGTTGTACGCCGACATGTATCCGTTCCAGGTAACCGAGTCTCAACAGTCAAGGAGCCTGTGGGTGTCTGCGGCTTGATCACTCCGTGGAACTTCCCTGCCGCCATGATCACCCGTAAGATCGGGCCTGCATTGGCGGCCGGCTGTACGGTTGTCACGAAAAGCCCAGGGGAGACTCCATTTACTGCCAATGTCCTTGCAAACTAGCCTTTCGAGTGGGTATTCCTAAAGGTGTGGTAAACATCGTGACTGCGCTGGAGGATACCCCTGAGGTCGGCCACACTCTCACCACTCATCCGGATATCAAGAAGATCTCGTTTACGGGCTCGACCCGTGTGGGTAAACTCCTAATGGGACAGGCTTTTTCTACTGTGAAGCGAGTCTCTTGGGAACTTGGCGGCAATGCTCCGTTCATTGTCTTTGATGACGTCGAAGATATCGATACGGCGGGTCGCTGGCGCTCTTGCGTCGAGGTTCCGAGGTACTGGACAAACCTGCGTCTGCGCTAATCGAATCTGCATCCACCGATCCCACTATGAATCCTTTGCGGAACTACTTGTCGAGCGCATCAAGGACTTCAATGTCGGAGCTGGATTCGCCAAGGGTGTCAGCCATGGGCCTCTCATCCATCTCGCAGCTGCACAAAAGGTTGCCGATCACGTTGCGGACGCTAAACCCAAAGATGCTCGTGTCCTTTTGTGTGGAGCTCGCGTACAGAGACTCTCTCTCCCCGCCCATGATCAACCAATACATTGACACTATCGTTCCCTTCCTATTATCGAGACCTTCTATATTGTCAAGAATACTTCGTGTTTCTGACAGGGGAGACTTCATCATCATTACCACCATCGTCAGTCAATGAATTACGAACATATTTTTGCCTTTCCCTTCATATTTGTAGATCTGGTTGATCCCCACGGTAAACTGGATGGTAAGATCCTGCCGACCCAACTGGTGCGGCTTCGCCAGCGACTACAGCACAGAAGGGTTGGTCCTAGGTCTGCTGCTTCTTCCACTCATCCTTGGTAATTTCATACAACACTTCGCCATGCTCAGTACCAGGCAGCGGATCCTCAAAGATAAGATGGAACGTCTTTGCATGTCTCATTCCACATTTCTCCATCACATGCCGAGATCGCTCATTGATAAACATCGTGATTCCAATAACCCGCTCCACCGTTGGATGATGCGAAAATGCATACCCAAGAAGTAGACGAGCACCCTCAGTTGCAAGGCCCATGCCCCAATATTGGCGACGGAGCCGGTAGCCTAGTTCCAGCGTAGCCGGCATTTCCTGCTCAGATCCTGCGAGACAGAACCAGCCGAGAAACTCGCCTTTAAGACCCTCGGCAATCCACCGGCCGAACTTAGGCCATCTGGTGTAGTAATCAATGATATGCTGAACTTCGAATTTGACTTTCTCCACTGAGGGTGGTTCATGGTCTAGATATGTCATAACACCTTCGTCGTTGTTCAGAAGACCGAGAAGTTGAAAATCATCCGGAATCAATCGGCGCAGGCAGATGCGTTTGGTGGACATCGCCATTGGGTTTGGTGCAGCGGCCATTATCGGCAGTATTAACTAGGTAGCGGGATGAATGGTGACCGTTAATGCGCTTCATGCGATGGACAAGATGGATTTAAAAAGGGCTAACTCGCATAGGATATACATATATTAAAGGGCACGCAAAGACAAAGTCAGAATCAACTACAGTTCTGGGTCTCCGAACCCTTATATGATTTTTCGCCATTGAACTGTCTCCGTAGTTGGTGGTCGGAGTCCTGAAAGCGTTAGTGTGGAACCAGCCACAACCGCTGCGGCACCACCGGTCGAACTACTTGAGCTAATATTTCTTGACAATAGGAAAGGTAGCAATAATATGGCAATGTTATTGGATAGATGATGGACGGGAAGAGAGAGTCTCGGTACGCAGACTCTCTGGCTATCTAATCCTCAGTTCTATCTAGGTCACGTGATACCAGATCTCGACATCTTGGCGATTAGATCGCTTGACCGTTGTGCCAGCATCATACGTCACTTTTTCGTCAACATCGATGACTAGGATTGTTAAAATACCTATAATACGGTTAGTCGCAAATTTGAAGCCAGGACGAAATACAAGTTTTAGCTCGCAGTTGACCTCCTTTTCTTTTGCTAAATGCGGCACTCGTCGATATTCCCACGATCTAGGGTATCAGATCTCAATCACTGTAATGATGTAACATATAAAGAGATGTGCTTTTCTTGATTCTGTTACTCAGAGATCCAACCTATGCCATCACTATCAGACAACCGCCGCCCCACTCTCTATAAAGCTAAAATGGTATCAGTGCCAGCTTGTTTAGTATGTTCGAAACAGGTATACTAGCTCTACTGTTAATTGGCGGGCAGCGTAACCGGTGACCTGACCACACCTGCTTTTATTCCTGCTAAACCTCCCCGCCTAGGACCTAGGCTTGTCCGGACCGAATGCTGTTCATTGACAGCACAGTAGTAGGACCGCGGCACAGGGCACGTAATGACCCTCAAATGATGTCATAAATAAGCACGCCGCACATATAGAATATCAGGTGAACAATCCTCAGCGCTCTAGCAAGAAATATTAAAAACATCGCAATCACCCCCATCACAGCCATCACCGCCATCGCCACCCCGAAACATAGCGAAAATGGGCTGCACTAACGCTAACGACGCTTCTGAGCACAATGCAGAGGTTGAAGATTACACAAAGCGGCCGCCATATTTGCTGCAGCCCTTAGAGGAATTTGGTGAAATCAAGTGGCGCGCCCACTGCCAGTGTGGCCAGGTTAGATATGCACTTAGACGAGACAGACCATTGAACGCCAAATTCTGTCACTGTCGCCAATGCCAGGTTTTGCATGGCGCGCCCTTCCAGTGGGCAGCTATATTTCCCAAAGAAGACATCCGATTCGAGAAGGGGGCCAGCGGTCTGTCGTTCTATGCGGCCGGGGAGAAGAACAACAAGTACCAAACACCCACAAAGGTCTCATGCTCGTTTTGTCGTACACCTATTATGGACGAAGGACGCAGTATGTGTCTGTTATTCCCGCAATTGATTGACTTTTCCGACTCGCCGGACGAGCAGCGGCACCGAGTGCAAACGTTCTTGCCTACGTAGGTTTATGTACCTTGACACCAGCGAATATTCGCAATGAGTAACCGTACCCACTAGGTGCCACATCTTCTATGAAAACCGTTTGAGAGACATCCACGATGGAATTACCAAGTGGTCGGGAATGGACGAGCAGAGCCAGAGACTAGATGACGCTGGCCAGCTACTCGAGCAATAGTGGGCCGTTGAAGCCCGCGCGAGAGTGGATGAGGGACGGACTGCCACCAGGAATCGAAACGTGGGAAACCTTCTTCGCTGGAAATATGACAACAAAAACCAGAAATTCGACCCATACGGAGAGGAAATTCCCAGACAACCACAGATTGTCACGAACGGAGACTTCCCAGAGAAAATGAGCAAGAGCGAAGGAAGTACGATGCGAAGGGATGGCCAACTGTTGATTTAGAACAGGCAAAAACGACGTATGTTGAAAATGACAATGATAGCCCCAGAATTAAAATGCTAAGAAACAAATCTTTTTTCCAGCATCGAAGAAAAAGAAAACGTTAAAGACTTTGATATGCAAGAGTGGATCAAGAAATCGGACGATCTGGAGGTTCCCAGGAAGGACGGGGAGAGTGACGACGCTTGGAATCAAAGTAAGAAAGAAGCGGAAAAGAAAGGTCACAAGGCAAATACAGAGGCGATCAGGGAGGCGAAGACAAACATGCTGCAGTGTGGCAGATGAAGATGAAGGGGGGGGAGTGTATGAAAAGATTTATGTACATCAAATTTAATATCGACATATTCACATGCTTTTGATGCGGATTGGGAGTTTCTCTGTCCAACAGAATGCCATTTATTTGCAAGCTTTATTCGCCTCCAACAACTCATGAATTTGCTGAAGGGGGAAGTAAGATGAATCTTGCTTCTTCTTCTCTTCCTCCAAAATTCCTCTCCCAATGGAATCCATAACAAACACGGCACAATCTGCATCACCAATATCGCCATCTATTCCGTCGTATGGACCCCTTCACCAGAGGATGGTTGGACTGGTCTATCAATGCACAGCGACGGTGTCAAATGTGGAAAATACAGACTGTCTGCCCAGAAATGGTAAGACCAGTGGGCGCCGCGATTCAGATGAAGATGAACAAGCTGATAATACTAACGATTTTATTGCCATCTTCAGGTTTATTCGGCACAACAGTCGACATTTCTTGCAAAAAGTATGGGTTGCGCGATTCTTCCGCCTCTTTCCAAAAGTCATCGGCGATGATTCTGGAAATTCTCCATAGCTTAGGATCCTCAGGCTCATTAGGTTTCCTCGGAGACTGGAACCAATAGACATTGTCAGGTGGAGCGAGAAGCAAGTCATCCCACGTCGAAGCATAGTTCGCAGCAATGCAAGCACTAAGACATGCCCGATACATTTTGGGTTCTATATAGGCAAGCCTTTCATAAGTCAATGCTGCCGCGACGGCGGGAAACCAGATAATTTCGGGCAGTAGCTCACCCGGGGTATTCGCCGTGACCCAAGATAGATCATTGGACATGATACGCCGGGCATTGATTGCGCGCCGAATAACCGCCTCATTACCTCCTCCTCGTGGCTGCTCGGGAATCTGCGTACCCCACCATTTGGCAAAGAATGCATTATGATAGATACCACGTATCACGATGCCAAATTCATGTTCAAGCCCCTTTGGTCTTCGAAGGCGTGCGTAGCGGTCAATGTTGCCTGTGTATGCAGCAACATAGATCAGACTATCCTTGTTGATGAGCGGGAGATCTGCAGGCAGAGGGTTATAAAGCAGTGCCAAATCATTATCTGGTGTCTTGGGTGCCTCGCAGTCATGATCATCTATTCCGAAGTCCTCGGTAATGTTGAAATAATTTGAATTTGAAACCCATGGCCTCTCGTCAAGGCAAATATCTCCAGAGGTAGAGTACTTTGATCTGGCTTCAAGACTCGAACAAACAGCTGTATCGCCATTCAAAGGTGCGATTCGACGCCCGGCAATATCCACTGTCCGCTTGTAATCATTCATGATTGCGAATTTCACGGGCTGAGACAGAATATGCTGATAGATCTCCTGGCTGCCCTTGTTCTTCTTTTGAAAACTTGCGTAACCAGCTTCCTCTGCGACGTGCACCTCCGGAAGAGGATGAAGCTGTTTGTACAAATCAATGTATCCGGCGACGCCACAGGCACGAGCAGCATGATAGAGCATATCTGGGTAACGCTGAACGAGAGCCCGCAGAGCATCCTCGCTCGGGACATCGGGATGCCAAATACAGTAAGGCGCCTCGTCGAGTGCGGCGATGGTTGGAATGATACCGCTCATGATATCCCGGGCATTCAAGGCTCGAGTGAACTCTGGGGTCACCCCGCGGAGCTCCTGGGCAAAGCCATAGTGGTATCTGATGCCGCGAATGATACACAGCTGATGCACCTGGTCGCCAAAAGTCTTTGGAATCCGTTGGTCGTGGATTGCGTCTTTGCAATCCTCTGCATCGAACTTGACAATGGCGAGTCTCCTTTCAATGGGCAACTGATTGAGTGGGAATTGGGGCTTCTTTGGTTTATCACGCTTTACCATGTGGAAACGGGAGGAAAGCAGAAGCTGATGATAATTTAAAGATCTCTCACTGGAACGGGGGAGTTCCAGTCTTTATAACCACGAGTATGATACCTGGTGGAGCAATACGTGTACAGCTAAGTACGGCGCAATCGCAGGGTTCGCGGTGGGGAAACCTGTCTGTAACGACCAATGAGAGCTTCTATAGTCAAGCTCCCAATAATCATTTATGGATGTCGTACTTGGCCGATCACTGCCATCACTGGAAGAGGCCCCATTGATTTGCTCAGCCCGTAACCTTTCGATTCCTAAAAGGCAAAAACTCCAATGTATTTAACATCACTTGAGTGTTTCAATTGCTTGATATCTTTCGGTCTCCACCCAGCTACCGTATTTAGTGACACTGTGCTGAGACACTGTTCACTTGGGATATTCATTGTGACCATGACTTGGACCATTTGGGGAAGTTTGCTAGATAGCTGGATAGAGAAGACGGTGAGACCAGGGGCCCGACATGATTGGACGGAGGAGGTAGATAGACTAGCTTCCTAGAGCCTCTCCAGTTCTCTTTCTCTTCTTCTCTCTCTAGCTTAGTGTCTTCAATAAATGGACTCTTTTAGATGAAGACTTGCCGACTCACATCAGCCAGCTATTCGGATGCACGTGCCGGAATGGCCAGGGACCAACAGAGCACCCAATTGAGGATGAAATGAGGGTCTTAGAGAACGGGCCCTGATCCAGCTCAGGGCTTACGGGGCAAGGCTTTTGATATGGAGGTGTTTACATGAATCGTGAGAAGAGGACAGGGGAGGTGGAGGTGCATACACGCGCTCATTTTAGTATTCAATGCATGGCTGGCATTGAATTTCTCATTTGTACTGCGGGTTTTATGTGTTTTAACTTATGGGTTTGGCTTACATGTAATGGGCTGGGGCTTCCACCCTTTGAGAACCAGCCTCCTTTTTTGTACTGGAGCATGATCAGGCGTACGGGACACGAGTTCTTGCTTCAACTGGAAAGAGGCGCCTGCATAGCCATTACGATACTAGTTAGGCTGCAACAGGTTAATAGAACTTTGATTGATTGATTGATTGACAGGCGTGTCGGGCGGCCAGGTTTGAAGTATCACATGACGCTTTTCCTCAAGCCTAGAGTGAATCCTCACATCATCCAGGTCAAAATTCCACGCGTTTGCAACCCGACCATCTGGCTGATATGGGGGCCAATAACATTCCCATCCCAAGTTAATCTTGTCGGCCTTGTTCCAAAGATAGAGGGTAAATTTATACGGGCTTTCCATCTCAAATTTCATGACCTTCAAACGGGGCATGCGTCGGCCCGCATGGCCGAGTGATATGAAAAGTCGGTGGAAATGCTCTTTAGTAAATAACTCCGGCCAGCCCCATCCCGCTTCGACATCGCATATCTCGTCTTCCCAATTTTCAATCTCGTCAATTGCGGCCTGGTATTCCGGTGTGTTGTGGAAAGTTGATTCTCCTGCTTTGGGTTTATTTTGTTATCAGTCACCTTAAATATACTCCGCGTTTTTCTTTGTTGCTTCTTATTGTTGAGATCACATGACCTGGTTGGTCGTGTGACCCTAGATGGTCCTGAGAGTAGTTAGATAGTCCTTGGAGGGTCGGAGCTTCTCTCCTTCCCAGTCCTTTTCTCCACCAATAATATTGACCTATTATTGCTTCCTTCTCCCTTTGTCTAGAGGTTATGACCCCTCTGCTCTGTTTTTGAGGCTATTCACAACACGCCAAGCTTCGCGCACCCAATCCAGGGCCGCCAAGCAAGCCGTGCCGCTGACGGTGGGTCTGATAAACCTACCAGAAGCCGTGAATACGCCCCACCTCCTGAGCCCCGCACCTCCGAGCCTTTCCTACGAACGAATACGGACACAAAGAAACAAAGAGAGAAACATCAGACATCATGTCCGATGCCGCCGCCATGGACCGCGGTGGAAATGAAAGAAATACCCGGGTGACGACTCGAGGTACCCTGAACTTGATGTCGGAGACACTTTCGACATCGGTGACGAGCCAATAGGTGTAGCTGCAGGCGCCGTTCGTCATCAAGGCTCACGCCTACCAAAGCCTACAAAGTGTGATCTATCTGCTATCGGAAAATTGTCTAGTACGGAGACGACCCGACTGAATGGATGATGCAAGTGGAGGACACACTGGAACTAATGATACTCGGAGACCTAATCAACCTATCGCTGCCACGGCCAGAAATCGATGACCCATCTTACTGTAGATGGTCATACTGGTCGGCATCAGTAGGAAGATGGATAGGCCTCCAGGTAGACAAAGATACGAGAACTCGCCTCGCTGGCCTCGCGGAGGGACCAAAGATGGCCGATGTGCTTTTTGATGAGCTCGTCAGCTATACGCGGGGAGGAGAGAGATCAGACAACCTGATGATCGACATTTACAAGCTCGCGGACATGAAGAGAGAGCACTTCAGCTCCGCAGAGGTATACATCACGAGTTACCAGAGGCAAATCAGCATCCTACGCCATGTCAAGCTAGCGCCATTGCCATTTCACGCCGTTGCAATAATGCTCTGAGAGGTCGAGGAAGAGCTTCCGGGCATGGGTTTCATGAAGGAGGCATTGCAAAAAATGGTGAATCCACAAGAATGACGCAGGAGGAATTCGACAGGAAATGCAAGGAAATGCTGATCAATGCACGTCAACTTGCTACCTCTATTTCAACCAACAAGGTTAGCTCGGCGCGTGAGAAATCAGCCCGCCAAGCTGACCGACGCGACACCATTGATCCTACGTCTTAAAGCACCCATTCTGACCGATACGACTACGCCGACCGTGGAAGAGGCCGTGATGGATACAACCGTGGCGGCCAGCGTGGCCGTGGACGCGGAGGAGGTGGAAACAATGGATCATCGCATGAGAGCACACCGATCGTGGAAGCTCTTACACCGGCAATTCGACCGGTATTGCATCAGCCCGGAACGCACCCCCGAAAGGAAATGAATTGAGAAGAAGCACAAAATGAGGAGAATCACATGCAAATTCCAACTGGGAAAGGAAATGGAGAGATTTAATTGGCCAAACAGGAAGGTTTTGAGGATATCAGATGAAGTAGCTCAGGTCCATGGAGGGAATGTTGAGATCACATGACCTGGTTGGTCATATGACCCTGGATGGTTCTGAGAGTAGGTAGATGTCACGATTTTTACCTCTTTCGAGTATCCGCCAATTGGAGATATCAATGACTCTGTCTTTCATTACCCCTATTTCCTGCTATTTATGGGGCCATTTCTAATTACATAACTAGCCTTCGGATATACTGTATACCCGAAGCCATTCGGATCATCTGTAGACCCGGTTTCATGCAGTATTCGTAAGATATTTCCGACATTAGATAGTCCTCGAAGGGTCGGAGCTTCTCTCCTTCCCTGACCGTTTCTCAACCAATGAACTATCGGTATTGCTTGCTTTGTTTCCCCTTTTAAGAGTATTTAAGTCGGATATATCTTGAGAATCGAGAGGGCCGAAATTTCCATCTAGCATTTCCATCGCTGCGGCAGCCTTGATCCGCATGGCACATATCCAGCTGATTTGGAATGTTTCTCGTGGGAACAAGCCATGTCAAAAATTTGGTTCACCCACGATTGAATCTTGGAGAGATGCACGGACGACAGTAGGAGATATTGACGGGGTTTGAACAACTCGGGAAAGGGATAAATACCATGGCATACTAGGCAGAACTTAAAGCCTTCCCAAGCTCTGAGGCTCAGCCTCGTGCTAGACGCGAAGCGCAGCAGCTGGCGGCACGAGACAAAATATTATTGGTGGTAGCAGGTTGCCTCACCGAGCCAAGGTGGAGGCGGTCATGGTCACCCCGCGAACGCTAGTTTCACATCGTCGCAGGCACGCATACGCTAACCTCCTTTCGGAAACACAGCTTCCACGCTAGCCATTCTTCGGATGCAGAGGTCTCTGATTGGCTGTGAGTCCTGCCCTGACGCTCCCGCCATCTATGGTCAACTGAAGGTCGCATCGGACGGGCCGTGACTACATCAAAGTATGAGTAGTTTGAAATGATCGCTAAATCGTATAAGAAGAAATCCATTCCTCATTATCCTACGAAGAGAGGCTAATGTCTATTGTATCGAAATCGTGAAAACTTGACTTGAATACCAGGCTCTGTTCACATATGATCCTCCACCTCGAAAACCTCTACTTACACAGAAGGTCCAAATGAGCACCCACCTCGCCGCCCTCTCCTTGGCCAAAGGCCAACCGTTTGAGCTCCAAATCCGCCCCACGCCGAAACCAGGCCCAGGAGAGCTCCTTATCGAGGTCAAATCCGTAGCCCTCAACCCCGCAGACGGCTACATGCGTGATCAAGGCCTCTTCATATCCACCTACCCCACAGTCATCGGCTTCGATATCTCGGGGCTAGTCCTCGAGGTTGGCGACAATGTCCCCGTCGGTGCTACCAATGAAGATCTGGGCCCTTTTTTCCGGCCGGGGATCACCCGCGTCGCCGCTTACGCCGCCTCTGTCTGGACGTCCTGCGATCCAGACTACGGCGCATTTCAAGAGCGGTGCCTCGTTCCCTGGCAGCATGCTGTGCCCCTTCCGGACGAGAGAATCTCTTGGAATCACGCGGCAACCTTGCCCGTCGCCGTCGAGGTACCCCTTAACGCGTGGGATGTGATGGGGATCCCCCGGGTGGGAGAAGTCACTGCTTCTGCTCCAGACTTTGTTGGCTCTACCGGTACCGATACCAATGGAGGTATACAAAAGAATGAAATTGAAAAAAGAGAAGCTCTCTTAATCTGGGGTGCCTCCTCTAGCGTCGGCACCATGGGCGTACAAACAGCCCGGCTGATACGGGAAGATCCTAACTCCTATTTCGCTGCCGTTTACGCCACGGCCGGATCGGCGAGTAAGAGTTATGTGGGTTCACTAGGCGCGGACCGCGTGTTCGACTACAATGACCCACAAGTTGTGGATGCGATCGTTTCGGCGGCCAAGGAGGACGGGTTAGTGATCCGGCATTGTTTTCTTGCTACCGGGCAGTTGGCGCCATGTCAGGCTGTGCTTAAGACATTCCTTGGAGAGGGTCAAGAAGGGAAGAAGACAAAGACGGCTAAGATCGGGTCGGCACCCGTAATTCCTTCAGATGCGGAGGTCGTCAGAGGAGTGGAGACAATATTTGTGGTGCCGTCGACGGTGGAAGGGGAGAGGCTGGTGCAGTTTCGATACTGGATTGGGACGTGGCTGAGGAAGAACCTGGTGAAGGGGACCATCAGGCCGAGTCCGGAGCCGAGCGTCGTGGGAAAGGGTTTGGGGGCTATCAATGCTGGGTTGGACAAACTGCTCCGGGGGGTGAGTTGTACGAAGTTGGTTGTTGAGGTTGCGGAGTGAGCGTTTGTCCCCCCTTTTGTTTGCCTTGTTTGCAGTGTCGACGTTCTAAAAGCTCTAACGAAGGCCATACAAGCTTAATACGGAAGCTATCTTATGCTGTTATTTATAACTGTACTGATATACTGCCAAGAAAGGGGTCAGGGGCAGTGGGTTCCGAGAGAGGGTTCGAGAAAGGGGCTCTGTGTGCAAGTGGTGAAACTGATTTCGATCCATCCTATATTGCTTTAGCGGGTACCGAGCATTGTATCATAGTAGTGGACTTCTTTATTTCGGGCTATTTTCCCGCGATCCGCGCCTATATCATTGGATACAGTGATTCAGAATCCAAAGATCTATCTAGGGCTCGAGGCGTAACCATGAGCTCTAATCCGTAGGATCATCCTTCAATCTATCATCCTCTCGAAAGGTCTTCGCTGTGACGCATGACTTGGACCACTTGGGGAATTTTGCTAGATAGCTGGATGGGGAAGGTGGTGAGACCAGGGGTCCGAGATGATTGGACGAAGGAGGTGTAGATAGAGTAGCTTCCTAGCGTCCCTTCTGTTCTCTTCTCTTCTTCTCTATGGCTTAGTGTCTTCAATGAATGGACTCTTTTTGATCAAGACTTGCCGACTCACAGTGTGCATGACCGTTTAATTTTGATAAAATTCTATACTCAATAAGTGTATTTTCGTTTTAACTATAATCTAAATACTTAAAAGAACAAGGGATATCCGCATAACTTATGAAATCAATTGGTTATCAAGTGTTTGTACTGTTCAGTGCTCCGCGCGTGGAGTTTCCATAGAACCGTTTCCGCGGAGTTTGGTCAGGCCTATAGATGCCAGCTCTTCTCGGTTTTCAGGTACATAAATGCAGTGGCGTTCTTGCAGACCTGTCTATTGTCGGAATTCCTCACTTGGGCTTTGGAAAGTCGAGAAATTCCGACAGCGAACGGGTCTGCAAGAACATCATTGCATTTTTATACCTGAAACCGGAGAATACCTGGCATCTAACCATGAAAGTAGCATCAGTGCATCGTAATTGACCACTCCAAGTCTAAGTGAGACCGCTGAGATTGGGCAAAGGTGTACCAAAGAGGATTTCTTTGTTCAAGCGCAGACAGAACTAGAGTTCCTAGGAGGCCGTTCTGGAGACCTTGTTGATGAACTGTGTGGCCCAGCTTGACAGGTACGAGGTCTGCGTTAGGGATGACGGCTATAAAGTTACCACACTCGGGCGAGAACAGAGGTCGTGAATTTCAATATTAGAAGGAAAACAGGGTGTGGTATAATGTGCAGCGATGTCGTAGTACTTGAATTAGTTTTCTGTCAGGATCAGGACGAGAACTAGGTTTTAATGGCGAACTTATAACATACCCCGTTGCCATCAAAATCTTACTTCGGGCTTGCTGACAGGAAATATGTCTCCTTATTGACATTCCATATAGTCTAGGCTTTGATGAAAACAGCCATTGAGCAGAATTTTCCCATCATCCCAGTGTAAGTAGCCCCAAATGTTACAGTGGTACAGCTGCCTTGCCAATGCAATTGGCTCTCAAAGTATCATATAATAATGTCAACTTTATGGCCAAGTATATTTTAATTTTTATATCCCAGGTATGCTTGAATTTCTTTCCTTATTAGCGGAGCAAACAACCGTCCACTTGTATCGCTATGTGACATGATAATATGCAGATTACTTCGGCTAGGGGCCAAAAAATGTGATATCTTCATCAAATTAAAAGTCGAAGTACCTATAGGGAACAGAATTACCGGATGATCTGTCTATGTATAATACTTTACCCAGCAATGGAGGCGCACTCATACCTTGTATACTTACGGTAAAAGAGCTTGGTTTAGGGCACAGACGGTCGCTTTTATTAGAATGAACAGTCTTTTTATCTACTTATATACACTTACAGAGAGATTACAGTATCAAACTTAACTGATATCCAACCCAAGGTCGATCACCATCATTTATTTACCGCACTCTATAATAGTTCTACATGATTTCCTATACATAGAGGGCATTTATGAATTATGGCCTATAAGACCATGCAGAACCTTGCTTGCGAAGGAAGGTAGGGGAAGCACCCTTTCTAGTTTATGCATTGACTTGCGGAGGAGGGTTCGTGCTAGGCTAATGCCCCTGTTTACTGGATCTTTCCTTTTTGAAATTTGATCGGT